CTGGCCGCAGCTGGATGCTCCTGGCTCTGCGACATCCACGTCATCTGCAGGCAACGCCCGACGCTTATCCTTACACATCCCAACAATTTCTTCGCGCAAGCTGGCTTTGCAAGCTTCTTGTAGTTCGCCTACCGTTCTTTTCTTGCTACTTCTGCCGCCAGTCCGGGCTGTGANNCCAGCTCCCCAGCAATGTTATTCAGCCGTTTTCTTGCAACCTCTGATCCAAAGGAACCTTCACTCACAAAATCATAGTTGCTGACCTGTCGAGAGAGCTTCTGGTCTGCAGACCCACGGGCTGATTCAAGTGCAGCTGCAAATTCATCTGGAGGGAACATCGGCTGCACAGAGCTCCACACGCACAAAAGACCTGTTATTGGCCATGACAAACCCGCAACAACGGCAACCAGCAGGCAGACTAGTACTGACAGCGCCGAGCATAGCGCATGAGTCCGGCAGTGGTATTTTCCGCTACACACTGCTGCAACGAGCAATCCATGCAAAACAGCTTCAGGAGAGCGTCGCACCCAGGTGACAAGGAAGGCTTGCGTCGACAAACTCACAACAAGCACTTTTAGCATCTTGCTGAAGCCCCGGCCCCAGGGCACGCGGGACGCACGTCCAGTCCATCCGGACATGTAGGCCCAACTCCACGCTTCTCCTAATCTTGACTTATGATGATTCCAGAACTTTCCAAGCCCTAACATATTGCGTCCTGACGCAATCTGCACTCCTATGCTGCGCAACAGCTCTTGTTCAGACCATGAGTGGGCATGGTCTCTGCCAAGGCACGTGATCCCTACAAGTGCCGAGATACCGCACATTATGCACAACTGCCAAAAGTGGATTTGCTTCTGACACATGCCAGTTGACTGTAGCTGCTGACCCACAAACAATTCCTGCTCTTCCATGGAGATGGTCTCTGCCTGTCCTAGTTGTCGACGTCGCCTCCGCTCCCTCTTACGTCGTCGGTTCTGCTGCAACAGACGAGCGCGGGCAAGGCCCCACACTTCATGTGTCCACCACATCCACTTTTTCTCCTGCGAACAGCCACTTGGATTGTTCATTCGGTCATTATACTTTTCTCTTTGAGCTATGTAAAACGCAATTGAACCTGGCTGGCTATTGCCAAATGTCTTCAGCGCCAGTCCTGTTACCTTTACCTCAGCAGGCTAACCACATACTGGAGCATGCCACACGTGTCCTGGGAGCACGAACCTTCCGGAGCTGCGCTGCTGTCGCCGTGCTCTTCCAGCCTGGCGATCTCCCAGCCCACTTCTCACGCAACGCAGAATCTCACCCCGCCAAATAAACACAAAGCCCTTCCAGAAGACGCCGCCCCTCCAAGCACTGAACTGCGCACTTTCCAAACAAAACGCGGCCTCCCTGGGCATGAAGTAGCAGCCAAGGCGTCCAATTTCCTGAGAGCAGGTCACAAAAATTGTGTGCGCGCGCGCGGGGGGCAGCATGGACAGCTTAATTCCTCGGAGACTAGGCCACAAATAAACACACAGCCGTTCCAGAAGACACCGCCCCTCCAAGCACTGAACTGCG